ACTATGTAGGGAATGCAATAATACTTTTTATCCCATAGGTAATGCTGGTTATGGACACAGATTATGGTCTCTGACTCCATTTGGCCAATCCAGACCTTTCTGTCCTCTTGTGACACCTTATTTTCCTTTAGTCATTCCAATTACCCAAAAGATTTGACAGTTTGAAATTAATTACAAGACATTTAAACCCGTATGCAAGTATTACAATCTCTGGCATGACATGCCACTTGAGAAATGGCAACATCATCTGTGAGTGCAGACACTCTGAAATTGTAGAAATGTAGAAAAAAAAATGAATTGGGAGTACACCGGAAACATTTATTTCTAAGTACTGGTGCTGCTGTAAAGACCAAAATATATACAAAATACAGATTAAGGAACAGCTGACATACAAGTAAATTAAGTTGTAAATTTTACAAGGCTACTTAAAATCCTCTATGTTAGCAAACAATATGGGGATTCAGTTACACCATATGGCCATATTGTGTTAAGCCCACCACTACTTTACTGTACTCCAATATCGGTGGCTCATACACTAATTTAAGATGGGAGATTAACATGCTAACTGCAATACTTAATGCAATACTTACTGCTGAAACTATTTCCAGAGACTCTCCTCAATTTGTGTTTTCCTGTGGTCACCTCCAAAACAGCATCTAAATTGGATAGGTGGGGTGCTCAGGCCAGAAATGTAATCAAAGTTAATAAGAAAATATGAGGGCAGCACTACCAGAAGCAGGATGCACACACAGTGCTGCAAGAATGTATTTGAAGGCCAAAATAACAAATAAAACAAACCATTTTGGGTTCTCCCTTTGTCAATACATAATATTAAACAGTGGGAGGTCCATGTAGCACAAAGTGAATTTCACTTTTTTTGTTCTTTACAGTTACTAATCATAGGTACTGCAGTAACCGTTCCCTCTAACATTTATGAGGCAGAAATGTAAATGAAAGAGCCATTTGCTTACTAAGCACAGGTTTAGATGTCTTGCCCATACTGAGGAAGTAGCACTGTCACGAACGTGGGCTATTGGCCCAGCCGAGACAGTGGGGAGAGTGTGGAAGTGAAAGGGTTAATTACACCAGACCCAGGTTACCTGTTCCTAGTCCCAGCAACCACTAAATTAATCCCTGCAATATCTTTTACACTAACACCCTAGTATACACTTTACTGCCACCACCAAGACTTCATATTGGGCGTCTTAGGTTACACCACACACAGTAGAATTATAGGATCACAACCTTACTTTTACTGATCAGACATATATAATTAACCCTTTTAGTAACATGTTTACCTGAGCTTTCCTCAGGAGAGTAGGCTCCTAGAGAAAAAAGACACAAGCTGATTAAGTAAGCCTTTAATCTGACAAAAAGGATTCACAATGCTGAGTACAAAAATACAGAAATAAATGACATACAGAAACACAGATAACAAATTGCAAAACATAAAATAAAATAGGAGAAAACACAAGAAATTCCTTACATATATTTACCCCTTATATATAATTCTTGTGGGAGATTCAGATTTTACAGGTCTCCTAGTAGTTGTTGAAAAAGAAAACTCTCCCTGGCAGTGGCGTTCAAACAATCCATGGGACCCCACCTCTCCTCCCCCCTCTACCCTGACCCTCTCCCCCTTGACCATGGGCCCCCTGCAGACACATACATACAGACACAAACACATACACACAGACAGACACCCCCCAACAGACACATACATACATACACACAGACACATACATACACACATACATATAAAGACACACACATACAGACACATACATACATACATACATACAGAGACACAGACACACACACATACAGAGACACACACACATACATATACATACAATATGAGGTACTCCATCTTCTTGTTTAAAATAGATATTAAAATAACCTAGAGATAGAACAAAAAAGGACACATAATAGTGCAATATTGTCTAAATCTCCTATAAATTTCAGGGAAGTATGTGGGAATAAACTCACAAAGCAGGAGCCTGTAGAGTAAGGCTCAATCTTCCAGCGTTGTGGGATTTAGGTTCCCACTCCCTTCTTTATACTGCCAGGAGGTGATGAATAATAGGATGCCCTCTCACAGGTAGGTATAAATGGTGAAAAGTGCTTTATTAATAAAGTGCACAAGTAAAATATAAAAACAAAACCTTACAGTTGAAGGTAATCTTCTAGAGATAGTCTCTGGTAGCAAAACGCGTTTCGCCTCATGTAGAGGCTTCCTCAGTTGCTGTAGATACTTGCTGTGAATGTTCTTTATTTGTAGTTTAAATTTCGCGCCCTTTTTCTGGCTTAATTGTTTGATCGCTGTATTTTCACTTCCGCATTGGTTCAGTAATTTCCGGTTTCGGCATTTGCGTTCCAACGGTGGAACGCATGCGTTTCAATTCCGGTTTTCATGTATAGGGACGTGTCTCTGCGTTCCACTGTGTTTAATTCTTTAATGGCAGTTCATTGTACACTAAAAATAATTGTCATTGTGCAATAAAGTCTCACAAAGCAGAGATTTGAGAGAAAAATAAAATAGATGCATATTATCAATACAAATAAGTATAGTGAAGAGGAGCAGCTCTTATGTAAACAGGAAATATAAAATAAGCACCTTAAAATTTCTATATGAATCTTGTTCTCTTATGAAAAGGGAACTGAGAATTTTAGGATATAAATATAAATAAAAGATACCGATAATAAGACAAGAATAAAATAGGATTAAAACAGCCCCTAAATTAGCTTAAAATAAGAAACTCTTGTTAAAAAACGTATTGTTAAGAAACTGGATATTTAAAAGTGGCAAACCTCAAAATCTGAATTCAGACCATAAGGAATAAGAGTTTTAAAAGTATATATGAATTTCATTTCTTCTTTCCCTAATGTTTTAATGTAATTACCCCCTCTCCAATCCCGTTTCACTTCTTTAATTGCACAGAAAAATAAATTCTCTGGGTTTTGGTTGTGAGTGTCTTTAAAATGTTGCGATACACTATGGGTTTCCAAGCCATTTTTAATATTGCGAATGTGTTCAGCAATTCTAACTTTTAAAGGTCTAATGGTTCTCCCTACATAAAGCAGATTACAAGGGCATTTAAAAATATATAAAATACCCTTGGAATGGCACGTCAGATGGTCTTTAATAGTATACGGTTTGTGGATAATACTTTCTAAGTCTTCAAGATGTCTTTTTGTTTGTTCAGTTGTTCTGCATGGGAGACATGTACCGCAACCATAAAATCCCTTAAGATCCTGAATAAAATGCTTAGGTTTTGTGGGATTTAAGTGACTCTTAACTAATATGTTTTTTAAAATTTTTGGCTCCTCTGTATGTGATCCTGGGTTTTGGGGGTAAAATTTTATATAAAATTGGGTCATCTTTAGTAGGTGCCAATGTTTATTTATAGTCTTATGTATACGTTTGTTATGTCCGTTAAAATTACAGATAAAAGGAACTTCATTAGTATCGGTTCGTGTTTTCTTTGGTTTGTATTGAATAAGTTGATTTCTTTTTAATTTGCCTACGTCTTCTAGGTCTTGGTTCAAAGATGTTTCGTTGTATCCCTTTTCCATAAACTGCTGTTTAATATAATGGGCCTGTTCTAAGTAATCACTATCTAGTTTACAGTTACGATGGATCCTTAAAAATTGGCTCTTAGGGGCGTTGTGTAAACAGGGTTTATGGTGACAACTACTGATATCGATGTAACTGTTGGCATCCACTGGTTTAAAATGATTTTTGGTGACTATCATGGCATCTTGGATCCTGATATCAAGGTCTAAAAAATTGATATTGTGTTCGCTGTAAGTGCTAGTTAAATTGATTCCATAATCATTATTGTTGAGGTATAAAATGAATTCTTTTAGAGGTACCGGTCCATATAAAAAAAATGTCGTCTATGAAACGGCAATAGGACACCAAACTCGCCCCCCATGGATGTCCTTGGAGTACGAATGCCTCTTCCCAAAATGCCATGAAGAGGTTAGCATAGCTTGGGGCGAATTTAGTGCCCATTGCCGTTCCACAGATTTGTAGGTAAAAAATATTTTCAAACCAAAAGTAGTTGTTGGTTAAAATTTGTGAAATTCCTTCTAAAATATACTAGGTTTGCTCTTCTTTAAAATCAGATTTTTCTAAAAAATATTTCACTGCTGCTATTCCTTTATCATGGGGTATAATACTATATAGCGCAGTTACGTCACAAGTGACTAATATATTGCTTTCTATCCATTTCGTTCTTTCTAAAATTTGTAAGACATGAATCGTGTCTTTAAGATATGTAGGGTTTTTTATGACAATTGGCTGAAGGATAGTATCTATATACTTGGAAATTCTAGTGGAAATTGAATCTATGCCAGATATAATTGGTCTTCCTGGAGGATTGGTTATATCTTTATGAATTTTTGGTAATAGATAAAAGACCAGTATTTTGGGATTATCTATCCACAAATAGTATGCCTCTTTGTCAGTAAGAATTCCTAAGTTTTTTCCTTTCTCCACATACTGCTTGAAGATTTTTATGGTTTCATTTGTAGGGTTGTGTGTTAATTTCTGGTAGGTTGAGGAGTCTGAAAGTATTCTATCTGCTTCTCTGATGTATAAAACTTTATCTAGAATTACCGTTCCTCCCCCCTTGTCAGCAGGTTTAATCACTAATTGATCATCATTTTAAATTTCTTTTAAAGCTTTTTTTCCCTTTATCGATAAATTCTGTTTATATTTATTAATTTTCCTAAATTTCTCTACATCCTTCATCACCATTGTTTCGAAGGTTTGGATTGCATCTGAAATCAAGTGTCTTGGGAAGAACTAGGATTTAGCTTTAAGTGATGTGTGAATGTATCCATCATTTAGTTCTGGCAAATTATTTTCTTTATTGTAAAAAAAATGTTTTAAACATAATTTTCTTTTAAATAAATTCATGTCGACAAAAAAATCAAAAGTGTTAAAATCAGCTGTAGAGGCGAATTTAAGACCTTTATTAAAAATTTTGCCTGTTCTAAAGTAAGAGTTTTATCTGTTAAATTAAAAATTCCTTCTAAATCGATGTCTTGCCCCTCTTCTCTCTGTGTTGTTTTCCTCTTTCTTCCCTGTCTCCTTCTTTTTCCGTTGATCGTTGTCTTTTCCCCTGCATTTCCCACAATTGCATGTTGTCTGTCCACTTTCTTCTGTTTTGTATTAAGTCCCTCCGAAAAAAAGAAGGTGATGGCGGGGTATCTGGAGGGGGTGATGTGTCGATATTCTTTTTTCTTTGTTCTCTATATTGGGAAATTGGTCTATCATGGGATTGATGGGAAGGTTCTTTGTTGGGGCATTTTTGTTCTTTCCTTTGAATTCCTTCTTTTACTACATCACTATATTTTCTAAAATCCTTATTATTGGTAGTGATATCAGTGGGTTCATAATTAGTGCGTTGGTGTCTCCTATGGATCGGTGTGTGATTGTATCCTATTTGAGGTTCGACAGCCTTGTTGTAGTGAGTTCTTTTATGTGGCTGCCATCTATTCTGTTCTCTATCTGAATATTTCTCTATTTTATTTATGTGTGGTGATTTCCTACTTTTTTCCCATTTTGTATTCCTATCACCTCTCTCTAATTGGTGTTGGATGGTTAATGGAAGTTGGGAGTAGGTATTCCTAATATATTGTTTTCTTTGAAAGTGGGTATTTTAGCATGTGTTATTCTTTTTATTGTCCCTTACATTGCCGGTCTCATAATCAATTGTATCTCTTAGATATTTTTTCTTTTTTATTTCTATAGTATCCAATTCGATTTTGTCTACTTTAGATTGGATTTCTTTTAAGATGTTGTTATAAATTTCTGGACTTGTAGATTCTGCCAGGCAATTTTTCCATTTGTTTATTTCCTCGTCAAGTTTAGGGAGGGTTTCCTCTCTTCTTGCCACAATATAACCCATTGTGCTAAATGAGAAACCATCAAGGAGTTTATCCCAACCAGCCATAAAATGGGGGTCTTCCCTATCGAAACTTGGGTCCTTATAGAACCTAAGTCCTCTAGGGGTGATCTGGTCTCGAACATATTTTTTAAGGGTTGCAATTTCCCATTTTACCTTCATCTCTTTTATGAGGTTTTTCTCTAGATTATATCTAGATTTATTTTTGTCACTATATTGCGGGACGGAGTTTGGTCCTATAGTTGTTTCAAAACAAGCATCAATGTTATTTGTGCGATATTCTCTATTTTCCAAGAAAGACATAGTGTGATAACCACTTCAAATACTGAGAAGGGGATTGTATATAAAATATACAGTGCTATACAGAAATACAGAGAAATACAGTATTGCCAGTGGGACACACATGTACTGAAATAAACCAAGAGATTCTCATACACCTTAGTGAGTACCCTTCGCCCTCACAACAAACAGAATATACATACAATATACATGCGCACACACACACACATACAGAGACACACACACATACATACAGAGACACACACATACATACATACACAGACACACACACACACAGAGACACTGACACACACACATACAGAGACACATACATACATACACACACACATACATACACAAAATGTTTCCTACCTTTTGTGACTTTCCCTGGGGTCCAGTGGTGGCTCAGCCTGATGGGAGTCAGAGTTCCCACTCTGACACCCTCCTCCTTCATGCTTCCTCCCGAGCGGGCTCTCGGATAGCTGGGAGGAGTGACCGGGGAGTCACTTCCTCCCAACAGTGATGTCATCACAGGGGGCCCTGTCGTGCTGTTAAAACGCCCAGTGCTGACCGGGGCCCCTGACCATCCATATCCATCGGGTGGCCCATGCTGTTAGCGCCACCCGATGGATATGGATTGTCAGGGGGCCCGGTCAGTGCTGGGCGCTTTAACAGCATGACTGGGCCCCCTCTGATGACATCACTGCTGGGAGGACCCCATAACATGCGGCCCCGGCGGTTTGCCGCACGGGCTGGGGCTGCAAAATGTGGCAACTGTTACCAGCAGCCTGGCCCCCTGGAGTGACGGGCCAGGTAACAGCTGTGACCCCTGCAACCGCAGTATGTACGCCACTGCTCCCTGGATCGTCCAACACCCTCATTACTCAAAACTAGATGTTTCTAAGTGGGCAGACCCCTGGCTGGATCAGAGGGGTTTGGCTTGGCAGTTTATTGCCCACTCCATGTTTTCTTAAACTATCTTGTCCTTTGAAGAACCCAAAGTCAGAGCACATGCACCAATACCTTTTACGATGCCCTATGCTTAACTCTGGTGATGGTGATCTAGAAATTTTATGGCCTTGGCCTGGTTAAGATCAAAGCCCACTATAAATATTATCCCAACGTTTACAAAAACAACTCATAACACATCAAATGCCAACTCATGCTTTGGCATGACAAGCACAATAACACATTAATAAAGTATGGTGAATTATCATTATGCGTGGTATTTTCCATGGCACTGCTATAGACATATACCTTTTTTGGAACAACCTGATCGTGTATTCTCGTAGCATTCCTTATCCTGAGGATTTCTAAGAATGGCACCCTAACAAGAAAACCTCTTATAAGTAAAAATAAAATATGTCATACTTACAGAATATATAGACAGACTTTAAGAAACGTGCACAATCATAATGCCATTCAATGAAACACTCATTGATGATATAAACAGGTAATGTAATGTTAAAGATTTAACATGTTTTAAACACCTAATCTGAGTATTAATAATATACTGAATAAACTGATGAGAGGAACGTGGCATATTTTATTTTTTTAACTCTTGCACCTCCAGTTCTTCTTGTTATTCTGGACTGTGGTTCTAGTGAACTATTTGGTATTGCAGTAGTAGATATTGAGGCTGGATGTTTGCCTTGCATGTGTGAAATTGTCAGTAAACAATTAAACCATTGTTTTTATTTTAGTGATTATATTCAGATAATCCTGCCATGAATCAATACCATTATTGTAGACATGTTGCTCATTCAATCTTCCATGATGTTTCACATTCCTTCTCTGTATCCGTTTGCATTCTGATGTTTTCTGTATTTACTCTTTTTGTGATTGACTGTTTCTTTGAGAAACTGGCATTGTCTTTTTCTGCTTGTGATGATAGTATTCAAGTAGCAGAGGCAGAATGTAGAATGCTTGCAAAAATAAGGAGTGTACGTCAGTGGGTCTTGCATATGTGGTTCTATGTATATTTCTGCAGAGTGCTATGTGGTTTTAGATGAGGAGCCTGTGGCTGCCATTGAAAATGGATGGTTGCAACTGCTCTAGGACAGTGGTTCCCAACCCAGTCCTCATGTACCTCCTACCAGCCCAGGATTTAGGGATTACTCAGATGTGTTTAAGATACTTTTAGAAAACAAAAAACACTTTAGACCCAAAAAAGTAATCCCTAAATCCTGGACTGTTAGGGGTACTTGAAGACTGGGTTGGGAACCCCTGCTCTAGAGGATGCACTGGTAGCTCCCTTTTTATTTTTTATGTGATAAATTTTATTGGTTTTTCAGTATTTGAAACATGTTTCACATAGACAAATACATGGAACAATGGTTACAGTGGAGAAGTATATCACACTTCTTGGAAAAGCTTACATTACTAGGTTAACATTGAGGAAATCTAATGTAATATCATAACATGTATTCACATAACCATAGCCTGCTTCGATGTCTAGATCTCGTATACTTGTCAACTGTCAATCTAGGCTCAACCAATGTTCCGTATCGTGATGTGAAGGGAGAACTGGTGGGGGGGGGGGTAGAAGGAGGGGAGGATGTGCGCGGGGGGGGGGGAGGGATCGGTTCTTTGTCAGGGCCCTGATCCCTATCTGGGACCCTTCTTGACTATCTGCTCGTTTGGGCTGACTGTCGCCAGTCATCCCATTTTCTCCATGCCTTTTGCCAGACTGTACTAACCGCCCTCATCTGCCTTGCAGCTATTTCATAGGATTTGGTGGTTTCCACCAGGTCTAAACATTTGTCAATGTCTGAGGGTGTTTCATTGAGCCACATTCTGCTTATGATCACGAGAACTGCGATAATGATATGGTAGATAAGATACAGGTCTGCCTTTTGCAGTTTTTGGGGTAATGCTAGTAGCAAGTAAGTTTCTGGGGAGAATGGTATGGCCAGTCCTGTGGATGCCGTAATGATATTAGAAACGCTACCCCAGAAGGGTTTTAGTTTTGGACATGTCCACCATATGTGGAGCATTGTACCTGGCTCTTGTAGGCATCTCCAGCAAGCCTCTGATTTCCGTCTATCATATTTGTGTAGTTTAGTTGGTACCATGTACCAGCGGTATAACACTTTCCTGCTAGTCTCTATATGGGACGTGTTCAGCGTTAGAGGTTTATGAGCAGACAAAATTTTGGACCAGTCTTCGTTGGGTATATCTGTGTTCAACTCTCGTTCCCAAGCTCGCACAAAGTGTAATGTTTTTGGTGGTGCCTGGTAGCTCCCTTTTTGACATTGCATGAGGCATTATAAAATGCTTAACTGACCTCTGGACCTACCAGGTCAGTGCTCTATTTGTTCCAAGCCAACAAGGAAAATAGAACATTTTAACTTTACTTTACAATAAGATAACATTATCCAAATATATAAGGGGTCAGATCAAATACCTCTCTGTTAACTTTCTGTTAATACGGTTGTATAAAGGACAAGACTAAGAAGATCCAAATTTTTGCAGAGACAAATCTTCTTTATAGTAGGGGCAGTAAGGATGTGTAATTCTTTTGTCTGAATTAATTTAGAAAACACCCCCAAAAAGAGATATAATAGTTAATATATAGGGTAACAGCTGGGTGCTCTAAGGAGAAATCTGGTTGGCATTTTTTTGAGCAGAATTTTTTTTTCCCATCATTAAACAACATTAGAAATAGCATTTGCTATTATATTTAAGCATTAGGAGCTTGTCTTTAGTCCAGTTTCGGGCACCTTCATACAATAAATATAGAAGCTGATCACAGTTCATTTGCAAAATGGTTGCTCTAAGGACTCCCTTTCTCTTCATATATTAGATTATTATTGTTATTATTATCAGCATTTATACAGCGTCAACATATTCCGTAGCAATTTACAGTATTAAAAAGGGGGAAATTTAACAACAGATAAGACAAGTACAAAATGTTACAGGAAGAATAGGTTAATAGGGACCCTGCTCAAAATAGCATACATTCTTAAAGAGGTGGAGTATAAAACCACAATAGGTAGGGTTGTGTGAGGGGTAGCAACCAAGAGACGGGGTGGCAAGTAGCAGAATTGAAAAGTGATAGTGGAGTTATGTTTGTATAATACAAGTTACTATGGGAGGCATAGGCTATTCTGAAAATATGAGTTTTGAGGGACTTCTTAAGTGATTGAAGACTAGGAGGATTTTTGATGTGGTGTAGGTAGGTTGTTCCAAAAGAGAAGAACAACCAGTGAGAAGTCTTGCAAGTGCAACTTAGCAGTAATGGGACAATGCCAGAAGAAAGAAAGCGGTTGAAGACAACACAAGACAAGGAGAGGGAGATCTGATAAAGTGAGATGGAATGGGATTAAGTGGACAAGTGGTGGGGCAAGAGGATTGGAGAAGTGTAGCCATGTCCTGTTCAGTAGCCAGGTAGAAGTCCTGAAGGGTTGGAAAGGCTTGATAAACCTGTGGTTGGGAGAAAGACAAGTTAAGGGTGAGAATTATTTCCTTAACTGATTAATGTTGATTAATGTTGTCATTAAAATAGCATGCAAAGGGGCGGAGCCTGAACCTCATGCTGACTAGACGTGTACTGTGCAAACTCCTGCTAATCTCACCCATTTTTGGAGGAAATCTCTGGATCCTATGATTAACCAAAAGTAGACACCTGATCACTGAATTGGCAGTGTTGTGGAGAACGCACCAAAACTTTTCACATGTGCCTTTGACGATGGGAGATCTTAGAGACACGCTGAGGCCTGCCGGTTGCTATGCTGTGGAAAGACGGCAGATTTCCCCACCATCGAGTTTGCTGTGTGTGTCGCTTCAACTCTTCCCCCCTCCTTTGGACTGGTGGGGGTTATCCCGGTACCTGTTGGACTGTCCTGTATTGCCCCTTCAGCAACAGAGGAAAGACACCAACATGCAGAGATCCTGCTGGGTTCTCCCTGCTGAGGTTGGATGCAATCTTCCGGAACTTCTGGGCCCGGCTGGAGAAATAGTTGGCGCCAAACTTGCCATTGCCACATAGAGAAGCCCAGCTGGAGAGAAACCAGAGACGGAAGCAGGCCCCCTCAGGGCACCACTTACTGACAGGCTCCTGTCCCTCTCCCTGTGGGCACAACCAAGTGGATTTCCAGTCTAGGCTTGATCCCACTTACATAGAAACATAGAATGTGACGGCAGATAAGAACCATTTGGCCCATCTAGTCTGCCCAATTTTCAAAATACTTTCATTACTCCCTAGTCTTATCTTATAGTTAGGATAGCCTTATGCCTATCCCACGCATGCTTAAACTCCTTTACTGTGTTACCCTCTACCACTTCAGCTGGAAGGCTATTCCATGCATCCACTACCCTCTCAGTAAAGTAATACTTCCTGATATTATTTTTAAACCTTTGTCCCTCTAATTTAAGACTATGTCCTCTTGTTGTGGTTTTTCTTCTTTTAAATATAGTCTCCTCCTTTACTGAAAGACATGAACTATTTTTCACGCAGACCAATTGACATATTAGCTTCTTAAGATTAATGCTATCTAAAGGAAAGGTTCCACCTGTGGATCCCGCGGAGGAGCAGACCGTGTAGGCAGCCTCAGCGGAGACCTTATACAACAACAATGGGGGAAGTCACTTCACTGACCATGGAACCAGAGAACAACAATCCAAAGCTCAAAACTCCTTCTGCTGCAAAAGCGAAGAAATGCAA